ATTTAGCATTTATGAATAAATGTAATTCTTATATAACTGACAATAAAAATGGTAGAAAAATAAAATAGTTACAGAATATTCTCAGGAAAAAAAAAGAACTTAAGGAACATTGGGAAATTTCCTCCGTCTGTTGTGGAAATTCAAGCCGAGAGGAAGAGAGAGACCAAGAGACACAAGAGAACCTCTTTATTGGAGCTCCAGCTGACAGTGGCCTTACTGCCTGTAATGGCTGCCAGCCCCGCACAAAGGAAAATTCCTTGCTTGTATTAGTTTTGGCATGGGAAGATAAGGCAGGAGAAAAAGTAGGTTTAAACAGTTAGTCATTGACTTGTGACAAGTTTACAACCTTGAGAATATGTATATTTTCTATGTGGTTATCTTGCTCCCATGGCTGGCTCACTCCCGTGGCTGGTAGCTGGGGAAGAGAACAGGTTTTTTGTTTTTTGTTTTGCAGAAATATGCTTGTGAGCTGTGGGTGCACAGATATGCTCGGGTGCCTTATCTTGGAAGGAGGAGGCTATGCTGGGTCTCCTTTAGCTAACTTCAGGCAATTTAGGCTGGGAGGGGTGGTTTACTTGCTCCTCTGCTCTTTATAACTATTTTTGTGGCCTAGTCTTAAGCTTATTATTTATTTTAAATTAATGTCTTTTTATACATTTCCATTTCACTTTTCCTCCTCATGTCCAGATACATGCAAAGCTATAGCTTTTGCTATGGGGTGGTGTATAGGTTAGATGTCAGAGTGTAAAGCCAATTTTTTTTTTTTTTTTGAGATGAAGTCTTGCTCTGTCTCCCAGGCTGGAGTGCAGTGGCACAATCCTGGCTCACTGTAATCTCTGTCTCCCAGGTTCAAGTGATTCTCCTGCCTCAGCCTCCTGAGTAGCTGGCATTACAGGGACCCACCACCATGCCCAGCTAATTTTTGTATTATTAGTAGAGATGGTGTTTCACCATGTTGGCCAGGCTGGTCTTGAACTCCTGACCTCATGATCCACCGCCTCCACCTCCCAAAGTGCTGGGATTACAGGCATGAGCTACCGCACCCAGCCATAAAGCCCTTTTTTTAATTTGGCCAAATTTATTAACCTTTTATTTTATACCTTCGAATTGGTTGTAATTTGGTCTTTTCCAATTCTGAGATGCTTCAAATTCTCTAGTCATTTATATTTTACATTCATGGATTCACTGTCTTCAGACAAACTTAAGCTCTATGAGGTTTGAAGTTTCAATCCAATATTTTTTTCCAGATGAATGAATATCCACTTATGGAAGTCTTTTCATTGTATACATGTACAGTTTATTTAATTTCAGAGGAAGTCATGATATGTCATTTTATTGAGTGCTACTAAATGTTTCCTTTCTTACTTAGATTTCTCATAGGCATAAGAAAGAAAAGGATCTCTTGCATGAAAATTGCATGTTGCAGGAAGAAATTGCCTTGCTGAGACTGGAAATAGATACAATAACAAATCAGAACCGGCAAAAGGAAAAGAAATATTTTGAGGACATTGAAGCTGTGAAAGAAAATAATGATAACCTTAAAAAAATTATTAAACCAAATGAGGAAACATTAACAAAAACAATAGTTCAGTACAGTGGACAACTGAACGATTTGGCAGCTGAGAACAAAATACTCAATTCTGAACTGGAGAATGAAAAACAAAACCAAGAAAGACTGGAAATAGAAATGGAACCATACCGTTGTAGACTGGCTGCTGCCCTTCGTGATTGTGATCAAAGTCAGACACGAAGAGACCTAAACCTTCATTTCCTGAGAATAAGACAAGAGTGGATTGATTTACAGGACAAAATGAAGGCTGATATGTCTGACCTACAAGCTATGAATGAGATTCTTTCTGAAAAACTTTCTAATGTTGAAAATAAAATCAACAGCCTACAGATTCAGCTCCATAACACAACAGATGCTGTTGAAGAAAAGAATTTGACTTTGGAAGGTGTGCGAAGAGACCTCAGCCAAACACAGTGTCAGAAGAAAGAAATTGAACAAATGTACCAAACTGAACAAAGCAAACTGAAGAAATCCACTGCAAAGCAGGAATCTGTGGAGGAGAGATTATTTCAACTACAAAATGAAAATACGTTGCTTCGACAGCAACTGGATGATGCTCACAAGAAAGTGAACAGACAAGAAAAGACAATCAGTACTCTCCATGACCAGTTTCAGGCTGTTGCCAGAAATCTTCGAGCTGAGAGTGAAAAGCAGAGTCTTCCACTACAAGAGAAGAGCAAGGAATTGCTGGATAAATGTAATTATTTTAAAAAAAAGCATGGATCAATGTGAGAAAGAGAAACCAGGAAGAAAAGTAAGTGTTAAGAAAGATAAATATTTTTCAACCTTCCTAAAAGAAAATTTAAAGTAATATTTGATTATGGCTAAATGTTTTATCTAGTTGAATATAAAAATATATAGATCATAAATGTATTTGCTGTTAAAACTGAAAGATACTTTACTTTGAATAAAGAAATTGTGTCACCTATGAAATTTTAAGTTCAGTTACAGTGTTAACAGGTACAGATTAACATTCATAATGTAGTCTTATGCTGCTGAAATGATCATCGCAATGCCTTTATATGGCCATGTTTGAAGATCATGCTGAAGCAGATAAACAGAAATGCTTATACCTGACATGAGTATTTTGAAATTAAGATTCAGTTAGGAGGGTTACTTTGACCATTAATTTCAGATTTTCCAGGTGAACTGAAGTATACTGCTATACTTCAGTGTATATTTCCACAATACTTTTCCTTCAGTAGTTTTGTTATGCATTTAAGTTGGTATGATTTTATTTTTATTCATATCAATATGACTTAAATCTGAGATGATTTCAGTCTCAAATTACTTGTTATGACCTCTCAATTCTCTAAAGGCATTTACTTTTTCATAAATCATAATTTGGGGCAGATGTGAATTTCAGCAAAGCTATGTTAGATTTAATCTTACTACTGGCATTTATAATTTACTTTGAATGTTTTTACAAACAATTTGCTCATAATTTTCATTTCAAGCCTCACTGCCTGTCATTTGGATATAACTTTGACCAGTACAAAGGTAACTAGGTTTATCTGTGATTTATTTGTTTGGCATTGAGTCCCCATTTTTAGACTAATGAGAGGTGGCAGGATTCCCATATAGCGAGAATGGGCTGAGTAGGGGAGACCCTTGTAGAAGCTGAGGTCAGGAGGGAGGTAAAGGCCAGGTTACCCAGGGCCTCAAAGGCCATTGGAATTTTACTTGTATTCTGAGATAGGAATCTTTTGGAAGAATCTGAGCAGGCAACTGAATATGCAAGGAACTCTGAAGTTGATTGGAGCTTCTAATAAAAAAGAGGGAAAACATTTCACAGTGTGGGATGTACCACCAGCAGCCCCACCCACATACCGATTTCTTTTTGAGACTTCAGTAGGTTGTTAAGCGTTGCAGATGTTTCAGGGATGAGTGAACAGTGGGCTGAATCTATTGTCTAAGTTAACAGAAAACTGATTTGGCAGAAAGATAGCACCTTCTGTGTCCTTAACTGAATTCAGTAATAAACAAGAATGTGTGCACATGAGGAAAAGGTGCATCCATATATGTGTTGATGTTTTTCAAAGTGTATATGTTAAGAGTTAAATCTTATTACCATAATTTAATAATAAGGTGATTTATAAAATCAGTAGCAAAAATACTTTCACAGGTAGTTATGAGACAACTCAAACTAGAATGGACTGATCCCCTAAAACAACAACCAACAGTAGAGGCTACATCATTTAATTTAGATGAGACACAGGATTCAAAGAGGAAATCGGGTCAAATCAGCAGTGAAGTATGTATAAAACCTAACATGTCTACAGTTAATCTATAGGTGGTGAAATAGTGTCAAATGTTTTAGGATACTAATTGAAGTGGATAGCTTTCTTTTGTATTTTTATTATAATTTGTTTTATAATTTTATCTTTATAATGCACTTGTTTCTTAACCTCTGGCTTTCATTCTGTCCTTTTCTCCTGATAAGTACATACATTTTTAAAATAAGGATCATTTCCAAAGATCCTTAGGAAAGTTGGGAATTATTAGTGTTCCTCACAGAAGTTGAGAGGCTTTTTTTTTTTTTTTTTTTTTTTTTTTTTTTTTTTTTTTTTTTTTTTTTTTTCCTGTGAAGTATTTTTTAGTGATTTCTCTATTGCCATGGTTAGGCAAGCCAGATTAAATCATAGGATAATGTTTAACAGAATGTTTCAGAAATTGTCTTATTTCTTATCTTTACTTTTATAAATGGGTACAGAATCTGTGTATATTTATTTCATGAATTTCAGGATATCTTGTACAGAAAGGCCATAGTACTGTTCTCCAAAATGCAAATGTTTTAATTTAAAAACTACTTGAAATGTTAGGTACTTTCTTCATTTTCCTTTCATTTTAAATATATTGTGTTTTCTTACAAATCACCTATAGTATGTAAATCCAAAGTAGAGAATTAAGAGATGTACCTAGATCCTACCACTGAGTTTAAAAAAAAAAAACTTTACTGAGACAAAATTCTTATACCACACAGTTTACCCACTGAACGTGTACAATTCATGGTCTCTTAGTATAGTCACAGAGTTGCATAACCATCGCCATCATCAATTGTAGGACACTTTCATGACCCTGAAAAGAACCAGCAATCTATTTTGTTTCCATAGATTAGCCCATTCTGGACACCACATATCAACTGGATCACACAATATGTGGTGGTCTTTTGCGACTGGCTTCGTCTACTTAGCGTAACATTTTAAAGGTTCGTTGTGTTGTAACATGTATCAGTACTTAATTTCATCTTTCTGCTGAGTATTGTTCCACTGTATGGACATGCCACTCATTTTATTTAACCATTTATCAGTTGAAGGACCTTTGGGTTGTTGGCATGTTTTGGCTATTAATCATGCTGCTGTGAACTTTTCTGTACAAGTTTTTGTGTTTGCGTATGTGTTCTTCTCTTGGGTATATACTTAGGAGTTGAATTTCTGGGTCATACAGTAACTCTATGCTTAAGCTTTTGAGGAGCTGACAGTCTGCTTTTCAAAGTGGTTGCACCATTTTACATTCTCATCAGCATTGTATGAGGGTTCTAACTTCTCCAC